TGTAGGGGAGCTTTGGTAGAACACAATGGAACTTACTGTTAGGTAAGTATGCATGAGATTATGTTGCTTGTCTCCAGGTTTGTGTGTGGATGATGGTGAAGATGCATAAATACCTAGCAGTTGGAAATAAGTGTAGCAGGCAGGGCCTTTGCTTTTTAAGATCCTACATAAACTTGATAGAGTGTCTTTTAAAAAACCCTTTATTTTTAATGAAAAGTAGTTGTGGAATGATTGTAGTAAAGAATGAACCAGTGGTAGGATAGGGGCTACTTCTATCTTCGTGTCTCCACCAAATCAACCCTCTAAACCATTTTTCTCCTAATGGGATATACAGTCCCCACGCCTCTTCCTTTTTTTACAGGTTGTAAAGCTGTTTGAAGATAATGTTCATTAGAGGAAATTGAAGAAAGTAACCCCACGCTCCCCTTCCCTACATTGTTTCTCCACTGAAATGCATATCTGCCTGAGGGATGCTTTTCATTTTTAAAAAATGTAAACCGCTGAAGGGAAGAGAGGCACAAATCCACATGCCATGTGTAGTTTGGCCCTGTGGTTCTAACATCTCATGGGGATATTTCTAATTAAAGTTTTCTACTTCTAGAAAGTGTGCCTTATCAAATATGTGTACTTATAAATAAATATATGCTGTATCACAGCATGGTGTAGATGCATGATGTAATTTTCAGTTTGCCTCCAGGATTTACAACATTTATTCCACCCTTTAAAAAAAATCTAAGATCTCAATTTGAGATCATGCTATCAATCTTCTGAGATCATGCTTTCAATGTGTCAAGTGTAGTATCCTGTATAAAATAAAAGTCAGCATATTTATTTATTTATTTGATAGAAAACCCAAGATTTTTTTCTATAAGGATGAACATGAAATATGAGTTATTATGATGTAGATTTTATTTTTGAGTCCAGATAGTGGTTTGATTAAATTTTGCTTCACTCACACCTATCCTTCCCGCTATGCACAGGTCCTAGCACTATAGGTAAAGGTAAAGGTTTTCCCCTGACATTAAGTCCAGTTGTGTCCAACTGGGAGTTGGTGCTCATCTCCATTTCTAAGCTGAAGAGCCAGTGTTGTCGGTAGACATCTCCAAGATCATGTGGCCAGCATGACTTCATGGACCGCTGTTACCGTCCCGCCAGAGTGGTACCTATTGATATACACACATTTGCATGTTTTCGAACTGCTAGGTTGGCAGATGCTGGGGCTAACAGTGGGAGCTCATCCCACTCCCCGGATTTGAACCTGCGACCTTTCAGTCAGCAAATTTAGCAGTTTAGCGGTTTAACCTACTGTGCCACCGGGAGATCCAGCACTATAGAATACCCCATATTGCAAATATATTTATTTAAGCAGTTCCTTTTTTTGTTCATGTACATCAGTGAGCAGGGTGGTCTGCAAAAGTTGAGGGACCTTTTGGTTACTGCTATTGATATCTTATTTATGTATGCATTTAGCAAGTGTTGGGTGATTTATAATCTGGAACTTCTCTGACAGTGAAATGCTCTGTTCAAATAAATTGCTTCCATGAAGCTTACAGGCAGCAACAATCATGTACCAAGGAATGCAGTTGTTTCCCGGTTTTTGTATTTAAAAGCCTGTTTCCCACTGTCCACCCCACTTCCCAACTTGGGGGAACAAAACAGATCTTGCTGTGTTGATGTTAAAATGTCTATTAGTTTTTCCAAGGTAAACTCTCTCCCTTCTCTGCCCAGGGAAGAAACCTTGTAACTCTTCACCACACTAGAAAAGCAACTCATACATTTCACGTAATTCTCGTTCTTCTGAGGTCTTAAAATTCTCCATGATGAAATAAGGTTCAAGTATCCACTAAAATAGCTCACTGTGGGGAGTGCCTTGATCCTTTTTAGTGCTGCAAGTAACATTTAATATAGATTTATTTTCTTTATTGCACAGAAAACTTGGAATCTGTTTTGCTTGTAATAACCAGTTTCCAGATGAAATTGGTGAGGTTTTCCTTTTATTTGTACTTGATTTTTTAAAATAAAATTGTTACATTCTGAAAGGAGAAAAGAATAGTTGCAAAATCACACTATTACATTTGTTTGTGTGTGGTGGTTTTCTTTCAGTATTTTCCTTTTCATGCAACTGAAACATGCCTAGCTGTACTCTAGACCAGTGCTACTCAAAGTTCATGGATCAGTGCCAGGCCACACGACTTTGGCTGCCACTGTGAAGCATTATTCGAGGAAAGGAACAGTTGCAGCCAATAGGCACAAGTTGAGTGCCAGTCCCTGGCCCATCAAATATGGGGGTGGGACTATGCCAGTTCCTGACATCAGGATAAATGCACTGTTCTAAACATTTCTATTATCCACTCTTTTCAGTTTGTTTATTAATTTTGCAGAAGGTTTTCAGTGAGGCTGGTGAAAAAGTGATGATAATCTGGATGCTGTTCATTTGTGCTCTTAAAAATGGAATCAAAATATTTTCTAGACTTTCCTATATACAAATTGGAATGATAGAGAACTTCTCTGTTTGGAATCATACTAAAAAAATTGAAATCTATATGTTGGATTTTATTTCATTTTTCACCAGATGTTTTAAATAGAAAAGATGGTGCTGACATGAATTGTACTATGCCCTTGAAATGCACCTTCCTTGCTTCGAACTCTTCCCACATAGCCATACCTTTTTTTTTTGTCTTCTAGGTCATCACATTTAATCAGCTCTACAGGTGACTGTGCCCTAAGGCCTAAATACACTAAAGGCACCAGATCTCATCTGATCTTGGAAGCTTAACAGGATCAGATCTAGTTAATATATGATTGGGAAATTGCCAATAACTATCGAGTGCTTTAGGCTATATTTCAGAGGAAGGAGTTGGCAAAGCACCTCTGAATATTCCTTGCCTTAAAAAGTCCTATTAAATTCATGGGCTCACCATAAATTGACTATTTATTTACTGTATTTCCCCCCCCCCCCCCCCCCCCTATATCTCAACCTTGAAGGGAACTCAGAAAAGTGACTTAAAGGTTCATTCACATATGTGTGGGCACACACACAGGTAACTGTGCAGTAGTTTGGTAGATGTGAATTCCTTTAGTACAAAGATTTGTGGGTTGGGGTCAAGCTCTTTTATAGTTGACCATGACCATTTTGTAGTCTAACCATTGGTTTTGTTGAAACTTGTCTGATGGAGTTATAATTGCAATTGGTTTAAATTTAATTGTTTTGTTTTCGTAGAATTTTTGTGTTTTATGTTGCTTTCATTTTAATCTGTCTGTATGATTTTGTTCTTGGCAATTGAATGTTTTGTCTTATATGTTGGAAATTTCCCAGAGTCCCTTCAGGGAGATAGGGCAGTATACAAATAAAGTTTTAATAATAATAATAATAATAATAATAATAATAATAATAATAATAATCTTATTATTATTTCAATCTCAGCATGGTGAATAAAAGTGGAACAGAGCTGACACCATCTCAAACCATGTGTAACAATAGTGACACCTTCTTCAAATTCTATTGGACATTTGGGATAGAATCATTTTAACAAATCTAATGCAGATCAGTGAGGGCTTTCTACATCCAACCTACATCTTCATTGCTGTGGTGTCATGTATTTCAGATGCCCCATGTGCATCTGCAGTGGACACTAGACTAAACATACTGTAGTAATTAACAAAGTATAGTGATAGCTGGATTAAAGAAGTTTCATCTTTGCATATTTATGTCTCTGCAACTTGTTTTTAAAATGTATAGTGGGTCTTTGCTTTCCACTGGGGTTTGATTTGAGTACCCCCCTCCCACCCCCAATACTAAAATCCTTGGGTGCACAAGTCCCATTATAAATAGTAGCATAGTAAAATAACATCTCTTACACAAAAGGGTAAAATCAAGGTTTGCTTTGGGAAAGATTAAAAAAACCCTTCCAATCCATAGATACAGAAGGTTGACTGTACTTAAAAAAAATTCGAGATCTATAAATAATTTTGAAATTTGAAAAACTTTTTAAAGTGCAACAGTCTTTTCTTATCCATGTGTTCAACATCCATAACTCCCCCATTACTTGAATGGGACAACATAAAGGTGTGAAAATGCATGTTTCACTTCCTTTTAACCTGATAGATGTGACTACATTCTCTGTGCCTTCTGAATATGGGAAGCTTTGGAAACACTTGGGAAACCATTGGTAACACTTGGATTCATTGGTCATTGTTTCTCCCATAGGCATAGTATTTCTTAGACTGTGTTGTAGGAAAGGGTAACACACTTTTAGAAGGAAGCTTGTATACCTAGCACTAACAAGTACTCAGTTCAAACTGCTAAAGAAAACTGTCTGAAAAGAGGTTTTCACCTTGCTGACATTGTGATAAAGCACTAACTCATATTGAATCAGGAAATAGTCCCTCTTGCTCAGGATTCTGTATATTGTCTGGTAGCAGCTCTCCAAAACATTAGCCAGCAGTTCAGGTCTCTGTGGAGACACCAAGGACAGGACATGAGGCTTACAAAGTATCTGTTTTATTACACTTACTGGAGGGGATTAGGAGGGCTGATCTCCTACACACTGGGATTGGACAATTGTCAGGCCAAAAAAGTGCCTTTGACACCATTCAACCTGTCCTTTCTTTGTCATGTTTTTCCTTGTCCTGTCCTGAATCCATTGAACCTAGTGTTCATTCATACACATAAGAAAATTTAGCTCTTTTTTTGTTCTTTTAAGCCCAAACATTGTGTCATGCAGAAACTCATTCAGTTTACTTTTGTTTGCTATTCCTGTTGGTTTTATTAAAATTTATTTTGTATCAAAAGCATTGCATAAATCAGTATAAAGCTGATAGAAATAGAAGGGATGCGGAAAGAGCCTCCTCAAAGACGGAGTAACTATAGTTGGGTGTGCCCTAGGCAACATTTCTTGTAAACAGCTGATCTTTCCAAACCCAAAAGCATTGCTTTTTAAACATTCTTATGGGTTGCAGAATTCTTACAGTATCTACTTTCTACTTATTCTTCCTTTCAGGGCTCTGGCTGATATCCTCCGGCAGCAGGGACCGATCCCCATAGCACACTGTGAAAGAGAGACTGTCTCAGCTATAGATACCTCCCCCAAAGACAACACTCCAATCCGAACATCCTCCAAAAACCACTACACACCGGTGCGCGCCTCCAAGAGCAACCCAGGTAAGCAGTATACTTATTCTGTATTAATATAGATGTACTTAGTGGTGCTTTGTGGAAAACAAGGAGCAGCACAGCTATAAAGTATCATTGGGCTTATATTAATAGCCGCAATATCTAGCAATTCTAAGAAGCGGCTACTGGGGCTTGCATTTCTAGGACTAGTTGATATGACTCTTAAATAAATGCAATGTTTTTTTTTTACTGACATGCCACAAGGATATGCCGAAGCATGTTTTAACAATTATGTTGTATAAAGCAAGCATGGACTGCAATTTGGCTCTGGTATATCACAAAAGAAAGACACGTAAGAGACAAACCAGGAAAACATCCCCAAATACTTTGGTGGGAATTTGATGAGTTAAGTTCTGACACATACTCCTGGTCAAAAAGCATGACCCAAATCCTCATCCCAAGCACTGCCTGAATGCTATCTTCACTACCCACCTCTTGGGAAATGACACACTTTGTATTCTCCATTGAAAGAACTGTTACAGTCATAAAGGAACACTATATGTAGAGCGAGATGCCCCAGTTCAGTCACAAGTGATTGAGTGCGACACAGGAGTCATTGGGTAAAATTCCTCCCCCCACATAGAGACATTATTTGGGAGGTCAAAACAGGTGACCTCAAAGGGGTAATAGCTTTGTGAAAAGATAAAGACAGTTCGGCTCTTTGGTAAAATCCTGTGCAACCTGTAGATTCCCTGTTTTGTGTGCTGGTGGTCTGACTAACCTTATTTCAGTGGGGTCAATGCTCTTGATCTTATGGATTGGGGCTTGAAGGAACTTGCATCTGATTAGGTTGGTGGTGATTTTTGGTAGGAATAGTCTAGAAAAGGGAGAGACGTTGTGACCTATAGAATTTTCAACTATTTTTGTATTGAAACATGTATACAAACTCAAATGGTTGTTTTCAGGGAAAAGGAGATTGGGGAGAGGAAGTTTTTTCAACAGTGAAATAGTGGAATGATTGACTACTTGGCATTGTATTGCCCTTCAAATCCTCCTTGTAGTTTTAGATGTGCTGCAAACCCATTCATGAAGTCCTTTGTGGGTGCAGCTGTGGAGAGGGGCAGGATTGCAGTGCAAAATGGTTAAGTTTACTGGGTAAACCTTATTTATACACAGAAATCCATCTCCTGTCGAACTTGCTATAGTGCTGGGATTTAAAATACAGTGAGCCACCTGGATCCACAAGGGTTCCATTCTTGGATGTCTTGCGAATGCCAGATAAAACCAGATTATCATGTTACATATTATTAAATGATTATGGACATGCATTTGGATGCTTCAGTGCATCTCTGCTCACATCACTACCATTCTATATATAGGATATGATGATACACACTTGGCGAGAATTGTGGACCCTGAACCCACTGATCTAGAGGGCTTCCTGTACATGTATTTGCGCAAAGTATGTAGTCTGTCAAAATGAAATGGAAATTGCTCAAATATCACAATAGCTAGATGGGGCTGTTGGATACTTTACAGGAGCTGGGAGATATCCACTACAAATGGAAATAAAATGAGGTGAGGTCTTCAGGTTTGAATGAGGTAAAACATGTTGCTGTGTAAAAGAGAAATGATCCTTGGAAGGAGAAATGAAAAAAGAAGAGACTTTTAAGTTAACATACTCTTCTAATGGGGTTGCATTCTCAGTGGAATGATACTAATATAGTGTCATGGGTAGAGAGCTGGCAGGAAAGTGTGACATTCAAAGGAACAGATCGTGATTTCTGTCCTGAGTTCAGAGAAAGCACTGCCAAGCTTCTGTGGCCAACGTGCTGGTTTAAAATCTTCACTCTTGCATCAGATTCTCCCTGCACCTGGAAAGCTTCACAGCGCAGTGAAAGCTTTGAATGTAACCTTGTATTTGACCTTTAAGCTTTCCCGAAGCAGGGAGCGTTTTCAAACGAGGAAAGCCTTGTTAACTCAGACCAAGGCATTTCACAATTTGGAATAACCAACAAGAAGTCGCTAAGAAACACATGAATGTAATGGAGCTTCAAGCTCGCAGTCCTTTCCAGACATTCAGGAATTATATTTATTATCACACTGTCCAATCTTCTTTTTAAAAAGGACTCCCAGGGTAATATAGGGATACTAAGGGTGTGTCTATGTTGTAGAATTCATGCAGTCTGATACCACTTTAATTGCCATGGCTTAAAGCTAGGAATCATGAGAGTTATAGTTTTATAAGGCCATATCTGCCAAAGAGTACCAGCGCTTCACCAAACTACACATCCCAGGATTCCATAGCATTGAACCATGGCAGCTAAAGTGGGGTAAAGCAGCAGTCTGTCTACAGTGCAGATGCACCCTATATCAGAGTCCCCCTGGGAGTCTGAAACCCTGTTTAGAGGTTTACTTCTCACAAATTCAATTTAACATGGGAGAGAACAGTCATGCATGAAGGTCTCACTCCCTTCATTTGATCCCACTGCCCGTGTCCCTAGTGTATGATGGGGGTTAATCTGAACTGAGGATCTACATATATAGGACCTTCCTGTTAGACTCTGATCATAAATCATTCTGAATATGTGGAGATTCTACAGAGGTAGCATGGGTTTCCCTGTTCATTAGTTTCCCTTCAGTGTGTGTCTGAAAAGAAGTGTTATGAATGCAGAGACAGGTACAGCGAAAATGGCCCAATTCTCTGTCTAAGAATTAAACTTTAAACCTTGACCATAATTGATTTAAACGTGGTCATGATAACTTTAAGGATAACAGGCTTATTTGCTGGATTAGCTATGACAGATGTAGAAAGAGGACTAATCTGGCCCATGAGTGTCTATAGTGAGAGGACATTTTGATGTGGATTTTTGAGTATTTGTTTGTTTTCAACAGTTTAGAAAAGTTATTTTTGGTCACTAATTATGGGGATTCTGGAAGCTGTTACTGTGTTTTGGTTCTAAGGAACTAGAACTTTTTGGTTCTTTGACCACATATCTTTCAACATTTTAGAGATGAAAACATGGCCAAACAATGCCGTAGTGTGATCACAATGACAAAATTATTAATGAAGAAGAACAGTCAAGCTAGAAGAGGCTACAACAGTTAGCTTTTGCCTGAGTCTATTGGGAAGGGATTCTGGTGCCTCCTTCCCTCCCTCCCTGAATTAATTAAGTGCAACATAAACTACAGAGAACAAGAAATTGCGAGAAGAGATTGAAACTGGAACATTTTAAAAACAGTTGAAAAGTGGGACAACAGAGGATTAACTGGAACAGTCCTTGCCAAATTGGGACAATTAAAGAGTATGTGACCAAGAATTTGTAAATTTGTGGTCTAGGAAGTGATTCCAACTGTTAGCTGCACTTTTCCTCCTTCCAAATATGCCAGTCACTCAAGAAGTAGTTAGTATCATAAGGAGGACAATTCAGTAATATCATGATGCAAATTAACTTGTATGTCAGAATTAATAACTGTTTCACACGTGCAAACTCATTACTCTATGACTGCATCACTGGATGATACTCATATTCATTAACGTGTTTTTACCATTCCTTTGAGTGGGCTTTTCCAAATACAGTGTAACAGACATAGGAAAATGGAATGGTTGGATGATGTGATTGGACAATGTTTTTAACAGGAGACCCTAATGGTCATGTTTTTACTGATTTTGTGAAGTTTTTATTATTTGATGGTTTTATTGTATTGAATTTGTATTTTATGGTCTTGGTACCAACTGTAAACCATCCCAAGTCGCCTGCGGGCTGAGATGGACGGTATATAAATATAGTAAATAAATAATAAATAAATTCCTGTGACTGGAAAACCTACAGCTTGCTTCAAAACAGGTCCTTTATTCAGCTAAGGTTAAATTAAAAGACCTCAAATTCTCATCTAAAAAAAGAGGGGGGGGGGAGATGTTGCAGTCAAGACTATGGGAAGGGAAGAACAAATTAATTCAGTCTAACAAAAATGAAGAAGTGGAAGATTAGTGGAGATTATCTGAAGGATTTTTAAATGTCAGTGACCTAATGAATTTTTTGGTTTCCTGGGTTTCGGCTGACAGTTGACAATAGGAGTCATGTCTCTGAGTCTTCTGCATTGAACAAGGCTACATTTCCAGTAAGATCACTCATTTGCTTAGTTCATAGTATGGTAGAAAGATGTGATTGCTGAAACTATTGTTTTAGTTTGTCAGTGACAGCAGCTGTGAAAGTAAAGGAAAGGAGATGTGTACAGATTTGGGGTTCTCCAAATATCTGTGATTTTTGCTTCCCAGTGCAAAAAAAAAACTGTATTTGCCAACATGGATAAATGTTCTAAATAATGCAATGGTTTTCTGAATAGTTATCCTAGATCTGAGAAAGAGGAAGCAAGACAGCGAGGGAGGGAAGAAGCAAGCAAGAAAGCAAGCAAGAAAGCAGACTAGTTCTCCAATTAATGGGAATGAGAACAGTAAAAATAATCATTGTGTTTTGAATGAGAAGCAGCGATAGTCATAGGAAATAAGCAGCAACATATTTGTGCTGTAAAGGGGAAATTGTGATTACCACCCTAGTACTGCATGCCTAAAAGAAAGCCATTATATGCCTCTGTGTATGCAACGAAGTCTTATATCTTCTTCCTGAGAGCATGTTCCTGTTTGGTCAATAGAACTAACTTCAAAGATAGATAGATAGATAGATAGATAGATAGATAGATAGATAGATAGATAGATAGATAGACAGACAGACAGACAGACAGACAGACAGACAGACAGACACATACATGCACGATTGTGCTGTAAATCTTTTGAGTGCCCAGTGAGTTTTCTTGGTGCAGAGTAGTCATTAGGAAAATGCAAAAACTCACACATCTGCAGAAAGGAGAAACATTGGATAGTTTCATTTGTCTCCACTACAGGTCACAACATGACACCTAACATATTGATATGAACAATGGAGCACCATTGAGGAAGTGGTTCTTCCATTCTTCATGTCCATCTAGGAAATACACCCTTTGCTGTTGTGAGTTAGAGATAAAACACGATATATTTTAACATTTCAAAA